TATTGGGACCCATCGTTGTGGAAAGCCTCCCCCCCCCCGCCCTGGTTGCCAGCCTCAGGCACTAGTGCTTTCCAATAGAGGAAGCACCCCCTGCAATGGTGGAATGAAGCAGAGAGCAGACAGAGTGTTCTGGTGTCCAGGGAGTGTAGCTGCTGACTGTGATCTACTGGAGTGGCATATGAGCTTAGCATATATGCTGTTTGGCCTATATGCTGTTGTGATTTCTGTTCATAAGCTAGTCCTGGGCAGTTTGCTGAGCAGTAAGCCATTTTATTCCTGTGCCAAGTGCTAAATTTGAGCTCCTGGGATGCTAAGTAAGGGTTCACACCCTGCCTGCAGGCCTTGCATGAACCCATTACCCTTTCCTCAGATGCTTCTTCAATTACAATGATTTCTGAGTCCATTTCTTTCATTAGGTAAGCACAGCACTCATAATCTGAACAAGGAGCCTCCTGTTGGAGGATCAATGAATACATGACCAAAGATTTGCAGAGTCTGGGTAGTTTCTAATGCACTTGTTCTTGGATAACACAGTGATGCAGCCTGGAACTTTGTTTGCCTCCGAGGGCTTTCCAGTGGTGGCTTTAACTGACTCTGTAGTGTTTGAGGAATATTGGCAATATCCTGTACCCTTAGTCAGTAGCACTGTAATGCGTTAGCAGAGGACATTTAGAGTAACCTATTGCTATTCCCATGGTTCAGTGAGCCTTACTCATGTGCAACTGCACAGTGTGCGCCTCCCTGGTGTGAATTTCTTCCTTTGTGTATCTGCTCCAGGACATGCCAGCTGCTGGTGTCTATGATCTATTAACAAGTGCAGAATTCTGTAGTTCCTGTACAAAGAAATATGCACAAAGTTCTTCATGTTTGTAGCAGCCTTTACTAAAAATCAATGAGTTTACGTGGGCTTATATAGCAAAAACATAATGCTCCAGAAGATATTCAAGAGCTTTAAAGAAAATAAAAACTGTGATCAATTCCACCACTTGGGCTCTGGCCCTATAGAAAGGCCATTGTCCATTCTTAGCTAGTAGACAAAAAACAAAATGCAAAGTTTCATTGGAGGCCAACCTCCTCTTTCACTCTGGGTCTCCTCTTGATTCCTGAGACACCTCCATCCACTTCTTGTCTCTAGAACCCCAGTTCTCAACATGAAGCAGTGTCTCTTTGCCCTTCCAGCATGGTTCTGCATGATCTTCACAAACTGACACCAATACTGGGCCTCAGCAGCCCTCTCTGAGCAACCTTGAGGACTTTGTGTCCCAATTCCCACAATCAACAGGTCACCTCCTTTTCCTTCCTCAGTCTAAAGGAAGCTCCAGAGACTCTTCTCCATGCTGCTTGGCATGTTCTCATTGTCTGAAGCGCTTCAGAAGTTAACTATGGCAAAGAAATTACACAAAGAAAGTATACAAATGCATTATCAATCACAACAACATAGGTGGGCTCTCAAGGCCTCACTTTCCTCTTTAAAATTAACAATCAGGCTTGCATGAAGTCCTATCTTCTTGAAAAGCTGAGGCAAGGTTCACAGAAAACTAGAAGCTTAAGACCAGCACAGGCAAGAATAGAATGTATGAGGAAGTACCTTTATTACAACTGAAATGCACTATGATTTGTAATGGAAAAACCTGTGAAAAATCACAAAAAGAAAACCATAAATTGTTCTGGTGTTAAAAGCCAACTAGAAGAAAGTAGAAAATATTGAATGCATCTCACTGATGCTATTTCAGTTAAGGTATGTTGTTTTGATTTTTGGAAAAACACAGATAAACTTGGGCATGCGTATTTCATTGAAATGTATAGAAAGTACTAGAAAGTACTTTTATTACAGCTGAAATACTCTGTAGTATATACAGAAAAAACGTTCTGTGAAGATTGACAAAAGATAACCATACTTTGTTCCTGAATTAAAAGCCAACTAGTAGAAAGCAGAAAACACTGAATGCATCTCACTGGTGCCGTTTCTGTTAAGATATGTTGTTTTGATTTTGGCATAAATGCAGTAAAACCAGGGTATGCGTATTTCATTGAATTGTATAGAATGTATGAGTAAGTACATTTTTATTGCTGAAATGCACTGTAGAATGTAACGAAAAAATGTTCTGTGAAGATTCATGGAAAAATGCCTTATCTGGTTCTTGCATAAAATCCAACTATTAGAAAGCAGAAAACACTGAATGCATCTCACAGGTGCCATTTCTCTTAAGATATGTTGTTTTGAATTCGAATGAACACAGTTAAACTCAAGCATGTGTATTTAATTGGTTTACATAGAATGTACTGGTAAGAATTTTTATTACAGCTGAAATGCAGTGTAGTATGTAATAGAGAACATTCTGTGAAGAGTCACAAAAGAAAACCATCTGTTGTACCTGTATTAAAAGACAACTAGTAGAAAGCAGAAAACACTGAATGCATCTCACTGGTGCCCTTTCTGTTAAGATACTTTGTTTTGATTTTCACATAAACAAAGTAAAATCAAGACAGTGTATTTCATTGAATTGTATAGAATGTATGAGTAAGTACCATTATTACAGCTGAAAAGCACTGTAATATGTACAGGAAAAACTTTTAGTGATGATTCATGTAAAGAAAATCATACATTGTTATTGCTTAAAAGCCAACTATTAGAAAGCAGAAAACACTGAATGCATCTAACTGGTGCTGTTTCTGTAAAGATATGTTGTTTTAATTTTCTCATAAGCACAGTCAAACCCGGGCATGCATATTTCATTTATTTGTATAAAATGTACGAGTAAATACCTGTATTGCAGCTGAAATGCCTTCTACTATGTAATGGAAAAAACTGTAAAAAATCAGGAAAAGAAAATCATATGTTATTATTGCCTTAAAAGCCAACTATTAGAAAGCAGAAAATATTGGATGCATCACAAAGGTGATGTTTCTGTTAACATATGTTGTTTTGATTTTTTGGATAAACACAGTTAAACTCCAGCATGCATATTTCATTTTTGCTAGTAAGTACTTTTATTTCACCTGAAGTGCAGTGTAGTATGTAATGGATAAACATTCTGTGAAGATTCACAAAAGAAAATTATATGTTGTTCTGCATTAAAAGCCAACTAGTAGAAAGCAGAAAACACTGAATGTTTATCAAAGGTGATGTTGCAGTTAAGATACTTTTTTTTCATTTTTGCATAAAAACAATAAAACCAGGGTACACATATTTCATTTATTTGTATAAAATGTCTGAGTAACTACCTGTATTACAGCTGAAATGCACTCTATTATATATGAAAAATGTTCTGTGAAGAATCATGAAAAGAAAACCATGCATTGTTATTACATTAAAAGCCAACTATTAGAAAGCAGAAAATAATGAGTGCATCACAAAGGTCATCTTTCTGTTAAGATATGTTGTTTTGAGTTTCACATAAACAGTAAAACCAGGGCATGGGTATTTCATTGATTTGTATAGCATGTATGAGTACATTCCTTTATTAAAGCTGAAAAGCACTCTATTATGTAATGAAAAAACATTCAGTGCAGAATCAAGAAAAGCAAATCATACATTGTTCTACATTAAAATCCAATTATTAGAAAGCAGAAGACACTGAAAGCATTACAAAAGTCATCTTTCTGTTAAGATGTGTTGTTTTAACTTTCTTGTTTTTTTCCCTTTGGTTTTTCGAGACAGGGTTTCTCTGTGTAGCCCTGGCTGTCCTGGAGCTCACTCTGTAGACCAGGCTGGCCTCAAACTCAGAAATCCACCTGCCTCTGCCTCCCAAGTGCTGGGATTAAAGGCATGCGCCACCACCGCCCGGTGTATTGTTTTAACTTTCGAACAAACACATTAAAACCAGGGTATATGTATTACATTAATTTTTATAGAATGTATGAGTAAGTACCTTTATTACAGCTGAAATGCACTGTAATATGTACAGAAAAAACATTCCGTGAAGATTCACAAAAAGAAAACCATACGTTGACGTTGTTGTTGAATTAAAAGCCAACTATTAGAAAGTGGAAAACACTGAAGGCAACTCAAAGGTGATGTTTCTCTTAAGATATGTTGCTTTGAATTTGGATGAACACAAACTCGGGCATGTATATTTCCTTGATTTGCACAGAATATACTTGTAAGTTCTTTTATTACAGCTGAAATGCATTGTAGTATGTAATGGATAAACGTTCTGTAAAGATTCACAAAAGAAAACCATCTGTTGTTCCTCCATTAAAAGCCAACTATTAGAAAGCAGAAAACAGACACTTCTGGTCTGGGCCCAAGCATAGAGCAGATCTCAGGTGGTGGCTCTGTACCTAATCTCAGAAAACCAGAGGAAGAGGGCCTCCCAGGAGCTTTAACTCAGGCAGCATCTCAGGTAAGGAAACAGCAACACCCATCCCAAACAGGGGGTAACTGGGACCCACTGGGACCCAGGAATTCACTCCTGGCCTGGAGCACAGGTTCCTTCCTGTCTGAGCCCAAGTGCTCAGCAGATCCTGGGAGTCAGCTTTGCACCCAATCCCTCAGAACCCAGAGGAAGCAGGACTCCCAGGAGCTCTAACCCGAGCAGCATCCTAGGCAAGGAGATGACAACACTTGCCCCAAACAGGGAGGAACTGGGACCCACTGGGACCCAGGAATTCACTCCTGGCCCCGAGCACAGGTTCCTTCCGGTCTAGGCTACACCACTCAGCAGATCCCAGGAGACAGCTCTGCATCCAATCTGACAGAACCCAGAGGAAATGGGACTCCCGGGAGCTCTAAGCCAAGCAGTAGAGCAGTATCTTAGGTAAGGAGGCAGCAACACTTGCCCCAAACAGGGAGCAACCGGGACCCACGGGGACCCAGGAATTCACTCTTGGCCCAGAGCACGGCTTCCTTCCAGTCTCCACCTAAGCAGTGAGCAGACCTTGGGCCTCAGCACTAATACCAGCAGCAAAACCCATCCAAAAAAGTTCTGACACAACCTAGATAATAGGAAAGACAGGCTCCAGTCAGAGACAATGCAGATAGCACCAAGGAGATCAACATGGCGAAAAGCAAGCGCAAGAACATAAGCATGAGCAACCAAAGGTACTTATCATCATCAGAACCTAGTTCTCCCACCTTAGAAGTCCTGAACTCGCCATATCACCAGGAAAGCAAGAAGCAGATCTAAAATCATTCTAATGATGATGATAGAGGACTTTAAGAAGGTCATAAATAACACTATCAAAGAACTTGAGGAGAACCCAAGGAAACAGGTAGCAGCCCTTAAAGAGGAAACACAAAAATCCCTTAAAGAATTACAAGAGAACACAAACAAACGGGTGAAGGAATTGAACAAAACCATCCAGGACATAAAAATGGAAGTAGAAACAATAAAGAAATCACAATGGAGACTACCCTGGAGATAGAAAACATAAGAAAGAGATCAGGAGTCATAGATACAAGCATCACCAACAGAATACAAGAAATAGAAGAAAGAATCTCAGGTGCAGAAGATACCATAGAAAATATTGACACAACTGTCAAAGAAAACGCAAAATGCAAAAAGTTCTTAACACAAAACATCCAGGAAATCCAGGACACAATGAGAAGACCAAACCTAAGGATAATAGGTATAGAAGACAGTGAAGATTCCCAACTTAAAGGGCCAATAAATATCTTCAACAAAATTATAGAAGAAAACTATCCTAACCTAAAGACCTGGATGCCCATAATCATACAAGAAGCCTACAGAACGCCAAATAGACTAGATCAGAAAAGAAATACCTCTGGTCACATAATAATCAAAACACAAAATGCACAAAACAATGAAAGAATTTTAAAAGCAGTAAGGGAAAAAGGTCAAGTAACATATAAAGGCAAACCTATCAGAATTACACCTGACTTCTCACCAGATACTATAAAAGCCAGAAGATCCTGGACAAATATCATACAGACCCTAAGGGAACATAAGTGACAGCCCAGGCTACTATACCTAACAAAACTCTCAATTACCATAGATGGAGAAACCAAGATATTCCATGACAAAACCAAATTTACACAGTATCTTTCCACAAACCCAGCACTACAAAGGATAATAGCAGGAAAGCTCCAATACAAGGAGGGCAATCATACCTTAGAAAGAACAAGAAAATAATCCCCTTCCAACAAACCCAAAAGAAGATAACCACACAAACAATGCCTCCACTATTAGCAAAAATGACAGGAAGCAACAACACCCTCTCCTTAATATCCCTTAATATCAATGGACTCAATTCCCCAATAAAAAGACATAGGCTAACAGACTGGATACACAAACAGGATCCAGCTTTTTGCTGCATACAGGAAACCCACCTCAGCAAGAAAGACAGACACTACCTTAGAGTAAAAGCTTGGAAACAATTTTTCAAGCAAATGGCCCTAAGAAACTAGCTGGAGTAGCCATTCTAATATCGAATAAAATCAACTTTCAACTTAAAGCTATCAAAAAGGATAAGGAAGGACATTTCATAATTGTCAAAGGAAAAGTCAACCAACATGATCTCTCAATTCTGAATATCCATACACCAAATACAAGAGCACCCACTTTCATAAAAGAAACCTTACTAAAGCTCAAAGCACACATTGCCCCTCACACAATAATAGTGGGAGACTTCAACACCCCACTCTCAGCAATGGATAAATCATGGAAACAGAGACTAAGCAGAGATACAGTGAAACTAACAGAAGTTATGAACCAAATGGGTTTAACAGATATCTATAGAACATTTCATCCTAAAGCAAAAGAATATACCTTTTTCTCAGCACTTCATGGTAACTTCTCCAAAACAGACCATATAATTAGGCACAAGACAGGCTTCAACAAATACAAAAAAATTGAAATAATCCCATGTATCCTATCAGATCACCATGGTCTAAGGCTGGTCTTCAATAATGACGAAGACAATGGAAAGCCCACATTAACATGGAGACTGAACAACACTCTACTGATTGATAATCTGGTCAGGGAAGAAATAAAGAAAGAAATTAAAAACTTTTTAGAATGTAATGAAAATGAGGACACATCATACCAAAACCTATGGGATACAATGAAAGCAGTGCTAAGAGGAAAATTCATAGCTCTGAGTGCCTACAAAGAGAAACTGGAGGGACCATACATTAACAACTTGACAACACACCTGAAAGCCCTAAAACAAAAAGAAGCTAATAGACCCAAGAGGAGTAGTCGGCAGGAAATAATCAAACTCAGGGCTGAAAATCAACCAAATAAAACAAAAAGAACTATACAAAGAATCAATAAAACCAGGAGCTGGTTCTTTCAGAAAATCAACAAGATAGATAAACCCTTAGCCAGACTAATAAGAGGGCAGAGAGCCAGTATCCAAATTAATAAAATCAGAACTGAAAAGGGTGACATAACAACAGAAACAGTAAATTCAAAAAATCATCAGATCCTACTACAAAAGCCTATACTCAACAAAATTGGAAAATCTGGATTAAATGGACTATTTTCTAGACAAATACCAGTTACCAATGTTAAATCAGGATCAGATGAGCCATCTAAACAGTCCCATAACCCCAAAAGAAATAGAAGCAGTCATTAAAAGTCTCCCCACAAAAAAAGTCTGGAACCAGACGGTTTTAGTGCAGAATTCTATCAGACCTTCAAGGAAGACCTAATACCAATTCTCTTCAAACTATTCCACAAAATAGAAACAGAAGGAACATAACCCAATTCATTCTATGAAGCCACAATTACACTCAAACCTAAACCACACAAAGACCCAACAAAGAAAGAGAACTTCAGACCAAGCTCCCTTATGAACATTGATGCAAAAATAATAAAATTCTAGCAAACCGAATCCAAGAACACATCAAAACAACTATCCATCATGATCAAGTAAGCTTTATCCCAGGAATGCAGGGTGGGTTCAATATATGGAAATCCATCAATGTAATCCACTATATAAACAAACTTAAAGGCAAAAACCACATGATCATATCACTACATGCTGAGAAAGCATTTGACAAAATTCAATACCCCTTTATGATAAAAGTCTTGCAAAGAGCAGGAATTCAAGGTCCATACCTAAACATAGTAAAAGCAATATGCAGCAAACCAGTAGCCAACATCAAACTAAATGGAGAGAAAGTTTAATCAATCCCACTAAAATCAGGGACTAGACATGGCTGCCCACTCTCCCCCTACCTATTCTTTATAGTACTGGAAGTCCAAGCCAGAGCAATTAGGCAACACAAGGAGGTCAAAGGGATACACACTGGAAAGGAGGAAGTCAAAATATCACTATTTGCAGATGATATGATAGTATACTTAAGTGACCCCCAAACTTCCACCAGAGAACTCCTAAACCTGATAAACAACTTTAGCAAAGTGGCTGGATATAGAATCAACTCAAACAAATCAGTAGCCTTACTCTACTCAAAAGATAAACTGGCTGAGAAAGAAATTACGCTCAGTAATAAAAGAATTTCTAGGGGAATCACCATCCCTGACTTCAAGCTGTACTGTGAAGCAATAGTGATAAAAACTGTGTAGTGGAACAGAGACAGGCAGGAGGATCAATGGAATAGAATAGAAGATCCAGAAATGAATCCCATACCTATGGTCACTTGATCTTTGACAAAGGAGCTAAAAACCATCCAATGGAAAAAAAAACAGCATTTTCAACAAATGGCTCTGGTCCAATTGGAGGCCAGCATGTAGAAGAATGCAAATTGATCCATACTTATCTCCTTGTACAAAGCTCAATTCCAAGTGGATAAAGGGCCTCCACATGAAACCAGCTACACTGAAACTAATAGAAGAGAAAATGGGGGAAACCCTTGAACATATGAGCACAGGAGAAAAGTTCCTGAACAGAACACCAATGGCTTATGCTCTAAGAATTGACAAATGGGACCTCATAAAACTGCAAATCTTCTATAATTCAAAGGACACAGTCAATAGGACAAAGTGGCATCCAACAGATTGGGAAAACACCTTCACCAACCCTACAAGGTATACAAAGAACTTAAGAAATTAGACTCTAGACAATCAAATAACCCTTTTAAAAAATGGGGCACAGAGCTGAACAAAGAATTCTCAACTGAGGAAGCTCGAATGGTTAAGAAGCACCTAAAGAAGTATTCAGCATCCCTAGTCATCAGGGAAATGCAAATCAAAACAACCCTGAGATTCTACCTCACACCAGTCAGAATGGCTAAGATCAAAAGCACAGGTGACAGCAGATGTTGACAAGGATGTGGAGAAAGAGGAATACTCCTCCATTGTTGGTGGGATTATAAGCTGGTACAACGACTATGGAAAGCAGTCTGGTGGTACCTCAGAAAATTGAACATAGTGTTACCTGAGGATCTAGCTATACCACTCCTGGGCATATACCCAAAAGATGATTCAACATACAACAGGGACACATGCTCCACTATGTTCATAGCAGCCTTATTTATAACAGCCAGAAGTTGGAAAGAACCCAGATGTCCTTCAACAGAAGAACGGGTGCAGAAAATGTGGTACATTTATACAATGGAGTACTACTCAGCTATTAAAAGCAATGAGTTCATGAAATTCTTAGGCAAATGGGTGGAGCTGGAAAATATCATACTGAGTAAGGTGACCCAATCTCAAAAGAACATACATGGTATGCACTCACTGATAAGTGGATATTAGCCCCAAAGCTCACAATACCTAAGACACTACTCATACACCACATGAAACTCAAGAAGAAGAAGGAAGACCAAAGTGTGGGTACTTTGGTCCTTTTTTAGAAGTAGTATCAAAAGATTCAACCAGAGCTCTCAGGGTCTAAACCTCCAGCCTGAGAGCTCAAAGGGAGGTACTCATGGCTCCACCTATATAGGTAATTGAGGATGGCCTTGTCACACATCACTGGAAGTGGAGGGTCATGGTCCCTGAAAGTTTGGATTCCCTAGTGTTGGAGAATTCGAGAGCAAGGAGATGGGACTAGGAGGATGTTCGGAGCACACCCCCATAAAAATAGGAGGAGGATGTATGGGATAAGGGGTTTTGGGGGAGAATGGGAGAGGAGATAACATTGAAAGGTAAATATGTAAAATATCCAATAAAA